CGCTTCTTGAACATGGCCGATGTCCAGGCGCATGGCGGAAATCTCAGCATCTTTTGTTGCCTGCTCGTGCAAAGTGGCGAATGGTCAGAAGCAAGATGACATATAGCTTTAGCGCTGGACATCCCAACTTGAATCACAGGCCTCTACACGCTGTCGGCTGAGGGAATTAGTGGCATCAACCCGCGCACGAATCTCATCAAGGTTCGCATTGACAGCGTCCATCGCAGCAGCGAAATCCTAGCAAATCTGTCGTGGCATCTGGGCGCGGAAGCAATGCAAAGCAAACTCTCGTGTTGAGTGTCCTTCACCTCTTCTCTGTTGCCCAATAAATCCTTCAGCTCTCCGACGTCGCGCTTAAGACGGTCGTCCACGTCCACGCCAAGGGAGGAAACCATGTCACCGACGGTCTTCAGTGCAGCATCCAATGCGTCATTGGCTTCCTGAGCAAAAATGCTTCTTCACCCCCCCCGGGACACCTTCTAATAATGTGACGAGGCAGAATTCAGACTGTCGGTCCTTCCAGGCAATGTGTTCCACCTTGTCGTCCAGCTTGGCGCTCATCTCATTCTTGAAGTTGATGATGTAGTCTGTAAGGTTCTCCTCCCTCTCTTGAATTTGGTGGAGAGTGTTGGAGACATCCTCCATCCAGGAGTCACGAGTCTTCAACGCTTCTTGAACATGGCCGATGTCCAGGCGCATGGCGGAAATCTCAGCATCCTTTGTTGCCTGCTCGTGCAAAGTGGCGAATGGTCAGAAGCAAGATGACATATAGCTTTAGCGTTGGACATCCCAACTTGAATCACAGGCCTCTACACTCTGTCGGCTTGTAACGAGGGAATTAGTGGCATCAACCCGTGCACGAACCTCATCAAGGTTCGCATTGACAGCGTCCATCGCAGCAGCGAAATCCTAGCAAATCTGTCGAGGCATCTGGGCGTGGAAGCAATGCAAAGCAAGCTCCAGTGTTGAGCCTCCGTGCCACGCTCGCATGCCAGCACAATGCGATGGATGTCCTTCACCGTCTTTGCAATGACAGCCTCCTGAAGAAGCACAAAGCTTTCGTCAAGCGCAAAGCAATACCCCTACCACCAGGAAAGTCATTTCAGCGCCGATCACGTTACATCATCCACATCAAGGCTATGTTTCAGGTTACACTTCACTACTCAGCATGAAAAGAAACTTGAACCCCAAGGTGGTGCCCGTAGTTATAGATTGTTTTTGAATCGGCTCGCGACGAGGATGTGATGTGGACAGTTTGCGATTGGACAGCATGTGCTTCTCAGGCAGTCAAGGAAGATAGTTGAGGAAAAGACCAGGCTGTATGTTAGGGGCACCCGTGCACTTCAAGAATACGGCCTACAGATTGACCTGCAGTGCTACTTACCATAAAAGTTCTCTAGCCCTGGCAAATGGCGAGTCTGGCTTGTCACAAGGACCAAGCCCGACCCCGCCTGCGTGGAAGGCTCCGCTCGGCCTGCCCGGATTGCAGGACGGCAATGGATTTGGCTTAGGTCCTGTAGGTGAGGTTGGTGTTCTGTCGAACATGATGCTGCAGCATGCTAAAAGACTTGTCAGCCTGTCCGAACTCCGGGCGCGCAAGTGCATCAGAATCCCATCAAGAAAGCAAACATGAACGAGCCACGGTCTTGTTGTCCTGCCTGCTTCAGTCTGCCGAGCAACACCTTTCGGGATTTGCATGTAAGGACTTAAGTTCGGAAGGGTATTTGATGGCTTGGCTTATGGTTGAAGGCTCAGGGGGGTGGGGTTCGGGGCTTAGGATTCAGGGTGGTTTTAGAGAATAGGATTGTGTTTTAACAAAGAAAATAAGGGAATGATGCCTTGCCCCGCGGCAATAAGAACAGCAAAGCGCTTGACCGCAAACTGTATACGAGCAGGCACATAATTGATATAGACTCCCCTAAGATCGTAGTCCCTGCTAGAGTCAATCCGAAGGCCGTGATTTATGATCATGTTATGGTTTGCTTGTGGTTTGGCTCATGATTCGTTTATGGGGGGATTTATTGGGAATGCACGATTTGGAGACGATGGAAACGGTCTGGATACGATTTTGATACGTCTCCAGCCTCCTCCAGGAAGTGTTTTTGATACGTGTTGGCTATGTTTTTGATATGGCTATTGGACACGCAGCCGAGCTCCTTTCCGAGCCGTGGCAGCTAAAAGGGGAGCCATCTAAATCTCGAAGCCGTGTGTTGGGGCGAAAGGCTTTACGAGTTCTGCTGGGGTAGGGAGATATCTTGCCCTGTTGGTACTACCCATGACAGTGGTAGCACAGCAGAGCTATTTCTGAATCTTGAACCCCCTTACCTTCAAGCCCGCCACAGCGCTCCCACCAGCCACCACTCCTAAGCCCCCTAAACCATCTACCTGTCAGGAAGCATCCTTATCCCACCTAAAATGCCTGAGATTTCACCTCGGTGCCTGAACCCCCCAATAACAACCCTAAGCCCCAATACCACCGAACCCTCAACCCTAAACCGCCAAATCCTAAACCTCCGAAAAACCCTAAACTCCTGACCCCTACGCCTGTATTCAATAAACTTAGCAACCCAACAAGCTAAATGCCACCTGCACCACCGCGTGGCACAGCAGCTGCAGGCCCTGGCAGCAAGTCGGCAAGCCGTGCAATGCTGGTCTAGCGTGACCCTGCGCACAGTATCTCTCGGCGAACTCCCAAAGTGCATATGCAGATCTCGATGTGTATCGTCTTGTCTCTCTGCCAGGTCTTCTATGATCAGCTCTTGAAGAAAGTTCCCTTCACATGTTCAATAGAAAAGCAGGTTGCGGGTCCTTTACTTCAGGCCTAGACCCTCAAGGCCTACAGCCGTGGACCTCGAGACTGAACAGCTTCTAGAACCCCTTATAGAAGCCCCTTACAGAACAACATGTACGGCCTAAGCCCTGAACCCCGGTAAAGCCTCTGTTGTACTCCAAACGGCCGCTGTTAAAAACCATGGCGCTTGTTTTGGGGGGGGTACCCTACGGCGTCCTGGAAAATCTAAACATGCCTAGAAACGCACCTATGGAAACCTATGCAGCTCCATGCAGCTCCTATATAATCCGAAACCACCAAAGGCCACATACTCCTACATCATTTGTCATATAGAACCCTGCTGTACAAGCCCGCGGTTTGCACAACAAATCTCACCGTGCGAAGTCACAAAGTGCTTATGCAAATCTCGATGTTCAGGTCTTTTCGTCAGACTGTCAGACTGAGCATGTGGCCCGGATCGCATGTTGCTACAAGGCGAAATCCCAAGCACAAGAATCGTGGGAGCCGGGGGATGCCTTGTGGTACGGCTCTTTGACTGCCGTCGCAGCTGCTACGGCAGCCTGATTGGTGCTGGGTGTGGGATGCCTACGATGTAAAAACTAGACTGCCTCCTCTTCCCCGTAATTTCATCAAGCGGAGCGTGCTAGTGGAGCTGTGAAAAGCTGGCCCAACGACGCCGGTGGAATGACGTAAGACCGGTGAGGAGTGGATTTACATAAGGCGTATAGTTTAGGCCGACGCCCATAGTGTCATTGTGTTACAACCCTATAGCCTGTAGCAGCACTCTTCCTATCCAATCAGCCCGAAAGCCCATGAACACCAAACCCTGAAACCCGAACCGCCAAACGCCAAACTATCCGAAATCAAGTGGGTCGTTCAGACCGGAATCTCCCAACCCCAACAGGCTATAGCTGAAGACCCGGGCTTAAGGTCTCTAAGGTTTTATTAGAAGTTGTGGGGTTAAGGCTTTCATGGCATAAGTTGGTGTATAGGGTCCGCGGGCATGCTGTATTATCGCCACAGCGCCTGGCCGCTCTAGCCTTGGCGGCCCGAATGTTTTTCCTTCGAGCTGTGTACCTTCAGAGAATGCCTGCTACAAAATACATCCTGGTGCAGGGACCCGAGCCCCAACAGCCGATCTCAAAATCTCCAACCCGAAACATCACACCCTCGGCTCCAAAACCTGCATTTTGGCCCTTAGTGTTGCCAAGGGATGCGTCTACATTGAGGCTCAAGCCCAGCTCTAAACACTGAATCCCGAACCCCTGAAGACCCGAAGCGTGAACAAATGAAGCCCTGAGCAACCAATGAACCACCCCACTTGGCGAATGGCCGTGACCGCCTTTTGGAACTCCTCGGGTCCCGTTGCCACATGGTTCAAGGGGCAACCATGTGAGGCATGTAGAGAGAGAGAGCGAGAGAGAGAGAGAGAGATATATATATATATATACATGGGTGGTTGTCAAAATTAGGGTCCCTTTTTGGGTCCTGATTTTAATACGGCACCTATTATTTAGGGTACCCCAAAAGGGACCATAATTGTGACAACTACCCATATATATTAAGGCTTGGCTTGAGCGGCTTTTGGATGGGCTTTGCGGCATGTGCCGCGGTTTGGGGTCAAGGGTTCGCAACCCTTCACAAACATAAATATCGTGGAGATTCGAGCAGTGACTACACTCAAGCGACTAGTGCCAGCAACAGTAGGAAACATGGCATAAGGTCCGGCAGCCTACAAACCACCCGAGAACAAGCTGGGTATCTGACAAAACAGCTCGGAGAATTGACCAAAAGGTTTGCGGAACACCGGGGGTTTGTTACTCTTGCGGTAACCACAACAATCATCTTTGCCCAAACCCTTGAGGGCATTCGATTTTTCCCATCGCTTTTGGAATCCGCGGCCGCAGGCGGCCGCAGGCCGATAGGAACGCCCAATTCTGTGCAGCGATTAATGGGTCCATCGATGACCCTTGCAACTGCACCCAGGATACTATTACGAGCTTAACAAAATGATGACCCTTGATGTAGACCCTCAGTAGCTCCGTGATAGGATCGTTGTTCAAAGAGCCCGCTTCTGACACAAAAACCCTCAAAAGATGGCACAGGGCTAACGCTTCTGGCAAGGGCTCTTTGTGGCTCAGCACTTCCTTGCTTTCTGCACGAACTTTTTGAAACGCACAGGGGAAACAGCTCATTGGAATATTATTCCAAAGACGATACACCGTGAAAGAGCAGGGAGAACATCAGGGGAAGAGCACTGCAGGGCTACTTCTCGACACCACACCAAAACCGCCTGAAACTCCCAAACCCTGCATAGCACCCAAGGATGAGACTGAGGCTCACGCGAGCTCATTTCTGAGCCTGAAAAGCGGCAGAGTCCGAAGTGAGGGCACGCTAGGATTTGACTGTGGCAGGAACGAGTTTAGTCGAAACTTCGCACCGTGCTGCAGGGCTCGCGTAACCACCGGGCGCAGCTGCCGAGCTTTCTTCGCGCTGTCGTCCGAACGCGAGAACCCCATAGTGCTGCCGCGCTGTTTGGGAACAATAGTGCCCATCTTCTTCCAAAAGACGTCTGAACATGATGCAAGCTCCCATCTCGTTAGGTTAGGCATCCCAAAGCTGCAACGGCCTTTGGCGTAGCAGAGTCTATGCTGCGGCAAGAGGTGCAGTCGCGAAAGCTCGCCTGGGGGAGCTAGCTGAGTTCCTTGTGCAAGCATTTGCCCGCGTTAACAGGGCGGTGGGCAGATGCCCACTTCGCCTTGGCCCAGCGGGATTTGGCAAGTTCTGCGGGTGTTCTTTTCGTCAAGTGGTGGATGGGTCTGCGACGGTTTTTCCACCGCTCTGGCTGTGGCGCGGCACGCATCTCGATGAACATCGTGCACAGTCCCCTTTGGGCCTCGACCACCCC